GATGTTCTTTGAACATTATAGGGATTCCCTTTCGTGCGCTAGAAGCGATAAAAAAAATGTAATGATGACCACACGAGTAACTAAACTTTTAAACTTATTCTACAGTCCCTTCTCCGGCGCGTTCGCCTGATTGGAACCGCTGGATTATTTTCATTGGGAATACGTTGAAATTTTTGTTTACGCGAATAATATTGATAACGAAGAAGAACTAAGGGATATTGTCGCAACTCAGATGTTGACCCTCCTATATATAGGTCGTAACTTAGCTACTCGCTTGGCATTTTGACGAGAGGTTTTGACCATTTCACCATTCAACCACATTTATCCCCAAATAAAGAGTCAAAACAGTTTTCATATAAAATTTGACATTTATTGATTAAATGGAAGAATCGTGGATGAATGCCTGCCACATGGCAGGTTAGCAAAGAAAAAAGAACATAGTGACTTGCCAAAATAAATGAAACACAACGCAGAACAACACTTGGAAAAAAACAGTACCTACTTACCGAGCTACTTACATAACAACATCTAGCATGGGGTTGACCAGCAGGATTGAAGTCGGGGAGACGGCGAACATTTTCAATTAGTTAATTTACTTCCACTTTATACAGGGTGTTCCAGATTTGAATGTACATACGATTAGTGGTGCCCGCGAGAGTCTCGTTTTCGAGAGTCTCGCATGGTCTTGTCTCGCTTTCGAGACAAGACTCGAGACGAGACTCGGCCAATACGAGACGAGACTTTCATTGGTCTCGTCTCGTGCAAGACTTCTCGTGTCTCGTGCGAGAGTCTCGCAGGTAAATATTTCTGCGTGCCGACTGCAGACTTGAGAATTTCATTCACAATACAACATATTCAGAAGGAATTCAGACTATTTCGCACAGAAAGACAAAACATTTTATTTTATTTTTATAACTCTCGAATATATAATGCTATGTTTTTTTCTCTTGTTTAGATGTATATTAAGTAAGAATGTACCTATTAGGTATACTTAATTTTCTGAATTGAGGAAACCCTACTCACGAATCTGCGATTGAGGTCTATAAAAATAACAAGTTTGCATCGTTCAAGTTTGATATAATTCAATGTTCGACGTGGCAAATAGCCAGGAAAGTAGTTGTTTTCTGTTGAATATTGAGAATGATATTATATGCATAATTCTCTGTTTCAGAAGATTTTGTTTTCAAATTCTTATCGTGTTTGTTCAATAGATGTAATTCAATATTCGTCGTGGCATATAGCCAGGAAAGTAGTTGTTTTCTGTTGAATAAACCGAGAAAGAACTAATATTTTCATCACATGGAGAATGCGAATTTCTTTACATATATATCCATTTTTTGTGTCCATTAATATATATCTGAGAATCTGAGAAAATGTTATTTTTGTTGTAATTTTCTCTTCCTACTTCTACATTATACCTAAAAAGTAGGTGAAGGTAAATATCCCGTACTAGACTGAAACAAGATTATGCATGACGAAATGCGATACATTTGCGAGACTCTCGTACGAGACGCGAGACAAGACGAGACTCGAGGGTGCGAGACGAGACTTGAGACAAGACTTCATATTTCATCGGCGAGACGAGACGAGACGAGACTTCATGAAAGTCTCGTCTCGTTGGTCTCGTGTGAATCACTACATACGATACCTGTATCTGGGCATAATTCTTTAACCCTCGCTTTAACCACTATGTAGAATCTATTCATATATTGTAGAATTCAGGTCCGCCTTATGGAAAAACAGAGAACTTCTTTTGTTTCAAAAACAACACCCTGTATGGCAAAATTTTGTGGATCTGTTTTGATATTTGGAAAGTAAGGAAAAAATTGAATGAAGTGACCTCCTTTTTACGAGCGCGCATCCAATATCAAGGCATTTTTATTGAACTCGTAATTCAAAATCTAATTTTAATACAGAAAAATGACAGTCCTCAAACTTCAACATCATTAGAGTCAAATTAGGTGAATTAATGATAGATTTGTTCGTTTGACGTAATAACTTTCCATTGATTTTAGAAATTTTCGATGATTCATTTTACTTTCCACTATTTATTCAGGAGCTGCGGTAAAGTATTCTGTGCAAAAAATTTTGGAATTCTGACAGTTCATAATCACTAGTGTGATATATTTTTGGTAACATTTAGGTTTGTTGTGATAAGGTATAATTATAAACACTTTTAATAAGAAATAAAACAACCCAACAGATACACCAGAAAGTAAACGTTATTACCTCGGTTATTACCAATAATATCACGCTAGTGATTATGAACTGTCAGAATATCAGAATTTTTTGCACAGCCTACTTCACCGCAGCTCATTAATTAATAGTGAAGAATCGAAGCCTCGAAAATTTATGAGATCATAGATAAGTTATTCTATGAAGCGAACAAATCTCTCGATGGTTCACCTGATTTTATGATGTTGAACTTTGAAGACTGATACTTTTTTGTATTAGAATTGGATTTTGAATTACGAGTTCCCTTAACAGATCAACAACATTTTGTCATACAGAGTGTTGTTTTTAAAATAGAAGACGTTTCCCGTTTTTCCTTATGTTTTACCTGGATTCTGTTCTCGATATTCATCCAGTTTCGATGGATAATACAAGGGGAATATTTCTGTCAAGTATGAATAGATCTCGGAATAGATCATACGAAGTGGTTCGAAACTTATGACCAGTTGAAGATTTTGCCAATAATAATAATAATAATAATAATAATAGCTTCTTTATTTCATTAAAACATTGTTAACAAAGGTATCACATTGTTTAACAGAAATAGTGTCTGAATAAAGTAAAATAAAATAGAACATACAAGAAATGGATAAGAACATGAATATATAGATATATGTATATGAAAAATTAACGTGCACATTGTTCACATTGAGTAGAATTCGTTCAGAGAATAGAGGGACTTCGCTAGTAATAATGACTTCAGTTCTTTTTTAAACTTTTGGAATGTCCTTATGTCCTTTATATGTGAAGGTAGATTATTAAAAATTTTACATCGATTGTAAAAAAGGCCCTTCTGGTATAATCTAGTTACATGTTTGCTTGGTAGTAATACATTTTTATGTCGGGTAGCATATTGATGGTTTTGACGAGTCCCGGCGAAGGCAGATTTATTCTTGAAAACAAAGCAGGCTATCTCTAAGATATATACTGATGTAAGTGTCAAGATATTCAACTCTTTAAAATGTTCCCTACAACTATCATTGTAATTTAAATTGGCCAGAGTACGTATAGCCCTTTTTTGAAGGACAAAAACACTTGCAACATCTGCAGCCTGACCCCAATGTACTATGGAATATCTAATATGAGAGTGAATTGTTGCAAAATATAGTTGACGTATTATAGATCTACCGCATTGTATTGAAGTAACTTTCAGAGCATATACCGTCCTAGCCAATTTGGTACAGAGGTACTCAATATGCTTAGACCAATTGAGATTGCAATCAATGGTAAGCCCTAGCATTTTACTGTGTTTTTGATATTCAATTGACTTAGTTGCATTTAAGGAAATTGTTTTATTACAAATTATTGACTTATTAAATAAAGTGCATACAGTTTTTCCTTCGTTTAAGCAGAGCTTGTTTTTTTTTACCCAGAACTCCACTTCAGTATATATTTGTTTAGTTTGGGAAACACACTCATCATACTTATCGTTTGTGATCAAAATATTAGTATCATCGGCATATGATGCTATAGTACAACACATGTTGTTTCTCCTGACGGAGAGGAGTAGGTCATTTATAAAAACAATAAACAATGTAGGACCTAATATGGATCCTTGAGGTACTCCACTCGTAACGGCTGCGAGATCTGAGACATTGCTTCCTATGCTCACTTTTTGAAAACGATCGGTAAGATAAGAACTAAACCAGTCATAGGCAACACCTCTAATTCCATACCTTGATAATTTGTGTAATAGAATTTGGTGATTGACACAATCAAAAGCCTTGGAGAAGTCTATAAAGACCAAGATAACGTCCTGTATCTCGGTTATAAAAAAAGGTAGACACGCGTCAATCGGGGGTGATTTGGAACCATCAAAGTGTCCTCTATTCATAGGTATCGTATGTGTACATTCAAATCTGGAACCCTGTACAGGAAGGTTATTATATTGATAAACAGTATTCTTTCTAAAAAACTTCATCATAAAGCTATTCAAGAAGTTAATCCTACCATCAAGAATAATAATCAAAATTATAGAACTTCATCCTATTTCGGATCATCAACAGAGAAATTAGCTTAATTTCTACATAATCAGGACTTAAAAGTGGCATATAGAACAAATAACACGTTGGGACGGTTTATCAAGAATAATAAAGGCAGAACTTCTAAATTCGAAAAATCAGGGGTATACAAACTCAACTGTGGATCTTGTCCTAAGGTATACATCGGTCCGAGCATCGGTCAGACAGGTCGTACGTTTAATCAGCGCATTCATGAACATAAGATGAATTTTATGAAAAAGAAAACAAATTCAACATATGCCAACCATATATTAGAAGAGAACCATAGCTTTGATGATAATTTCGAAATTCTACATGTGGAAAATAAAGGAATGAAACTCAATCATTTTGAATCATTAGAAATCAACAAACTAAAAAATTTTGACATTTTACTTAACGATCAATTAGACCTCAACAGTTCACAACTGTTGAATTTGTTTTCTTAGTAGGTAATAATAATAGTAGGATATATAAAAGTCAAGCAAGCCAACGTAGTTTAGTTCATTGTACCAGTATATTACCTGACAAAGCTACTGTGTTAGCGAAACATGTCGTGTGTTTGAGAATTTTGTGGAAATTTTATCGTTTAATTGTGAAGTTTTTACTAACTGCCGAGTCAATCCAAAATATTATAAAAAAAGTTGATAGTTTTCGACTTATTAGCCCAAAACCTCCAGGGAACTATTGTTCTCACTTCTTTTGGGATTTTTTCCAGCTGGATCATGAGGTGGAGTATAATAATTTAGTAAAGGTTGCTTTTTGTCGCAGACAGACCATAATGGCCAATGGCCGGACGCAGCTGGCAGGGCCGCTCGACCGTCAGAAGCATGCAGCTGTTCTATGAGCTGAAGCAGCTGCACCCCACGGCTTCGGACGCGGCGCTCAACAGCTGCATAGCCACCTACGTCGGATCGAGCGGTGGTGGGGGGCAGAGTCAGCTGATGCGGCTGCTGGAGGAGAACGAGATCGAAGGTTTTGTACTCAATTACTCAAAGGCTTTGATTATTCACACTAACCAGTTGAACGGGATCGAAGGTTTTATACTCAATGCCGTGATTATTCACACCGAGGGGTAAACCACCTTCTGAAAATGTATACAGCTGAGTCCCTGGAATCACTTGGAAATCACCCGGAATCCCACGGAACCCCACTGGAATCCCACAGAGTCCTACTGGAATTTCAAGGAATCCCACTGGAATCTCAACGGAACTTTACTGGAATTTCACATGCCTTCATACCATAATTCCAAGGTGGTTTGCCCCTCGATTCACACTAACAAGATGAAGGAGATCGAAGGTTTTATGCTCAGAGGCTTGAATATACAGGATATTCCTCTTCAGCATGCAGTAGAGTAGATTCCGAGAGTAAAGACGAGCCAGTCAGGAACTAAGGCCAAATTTGACTTCAACATTTTACATGGAGGTGGATCATCTTGATGTTAGTGTGAATAAAATAATCAAGGCTCAATGGCTATATGCTCCGAATTCAATTGTCTGTACTGAATCTGCTGAATTTCCATTCTGAAATCAACAAAATGCACTGAAAGGTATTGATCTCTAACCACCAGAAGTCAGCAATCTGTTAATAATGAAGTGAACATGGTTTTAGGGCATGAGTATGTTATATTCGTTTCATCATCATGATTTATCAGAGAAAATGAATGATTCAATTCAAGGTATTTACACATTGTACTCATTAAATCTCGAAGCTGGTTTGCTCGATTTGTCATCGATTTGCCGTCATGAAAACATTGATGAAATAAACCTTAGGTGCGCTCATTCTTCATTTGTTTCGTCAAACTCGTTCTTAATATAAACAAATGAATTTCAGATGATTACGTGGGCTTCACATATTGAATGTTAGATGGCGTGATTCGTAGAACTTATGATCGACATCAGTTCTACCAACCTTGAGGCGGCTAAATCGCCTTCATTGGTCACAATTCGGTCACAGTTGTCACATTGATGCCTGTAATTTTGGTACGGCACCAGACTAAACTTAGCGAGATTCACCCACACCATGTTATGTTTATCCAAGTAGGCGAAAATCAAGGAATTGCAAAACAGGAAAGGATTTAAGTGCGTACACCAGAGGATTTTTTCTTCAATAAGCAAACTCTTCCAAAAAAAATTAGTTGCTGGTCCACGTACGAATTTTCTTATTTTTATTTGTTCGACTGAATAGTGACAGCTCAGCCAGAGTAACTAGCTGTAAAAAGTGTTTCATTTTGCTTATTTTTTCTGCGGAAAAGTCATCATATTCTAAGTACCACAGTGGAACAAATCATCTTATTCAACTCGGCGTACATTGCTTCTGACAAATAATTGAATTGATTTTGTGACATAATAGTAGGAACCCATAACAACAAAGCTAAACAAAGAATCTGAATTATCCAAAGATTAACGTGGCACTACCACTAAGTTTTGTAGTAGAAGAACAATAATCCTAATGAAAAATGGCATTCATAGTTTTTGTTATAAAATTGTTTTCAGGCTATTGCGTGCTTTGTTTTCGGTGTTTGAGCAATTCATTTAGTTGTTACTTCAAATTCAAAGCAGGCTATTTTGTGAATAAATTTATCCCGGCAGTGTAAGATCTGTGAAGAAGGGTTAGTTGCAAAGGAGGTTACAAATATCCTAACCTGATAGTTCACAAGACACGTAGACATTTTTCCAGTGACGGTCTTGTTTAAGGACTTCTGTTGATGAGAAACGTGTTCAAATCATTGAAAATATCGAATAATCAAACAAAGACGTTACAGAATCATGTATTATTATGTTGCAATAATATTTATAGAAATGTCGATGCATATAAATTATATCTATGGCAATGATTCCACAGAGCTATCACCACCATTCGCGATTTCATTATTTGATCCGTGTTTGGCGTTTAGAATTGTCGTGTACTTTTTAATGAATGCAGGGTCTAAAACGGCCAATTACGGGGGATCCTCCACGCGGTCCAATATGTGTACCGGGTGACATGTTACCAAGTACCACCCCCTATATTTCTTTCATTTTTGACAGTCAAAACAAATGTATAGAATTCATTAAGGAACATCAGTAGTTACTGGAGTGTGATGATTTTTATTATTATTATAATTATTATTCGATGTTTTTTCTACTACTATTATCATTTTTATCGATTCAGGGCAGATGGGACGATCAACCCCATCCACCCCCCTGGAACAACCCCAACCCCCAGACATCAACCCGACCGAAGAAATTAGCCGAGTCGACACCGTCCCAACGCTTCAATCGTCCATCCGACCGCCTATCAAACGACCCGACTCCCTCGACATAAAACGCGACACGGAACCAACGCCATCTAGCGACGACAAACGGAAGCTCGACGATCGGTCCGAGAGTGAATTGAGCCGAATCGACAACGTCGCAGTGTTCGAATGCTCGCCTCGACCGCTTGTCAAGCCACCCGACACACAACGTAACACGAATCTAGCGCCATCTAGCGCCGATAAACGGAAGCTCCATGCGCGCGAGTGTGATACCGAAATGAGCCGAGTAGACAGCGCCGGAGTGTTAGAAACGTCCACCCGATCGCTTGTTAAACGACCCGACAGCCTTGACATAAAACGCGACACGGACCTAGCGCCATCTAGCGACGACAAACGGAAGCTCGAGTGTAAGTGCGTGGCGCCATCTAGCGACGATAAAAGGAAGTTCAACATCCGCTTGTCGGAGAAGTGTCGGGACGTGCACAAACTGCTGAACTCGGGAGTGTGTGATAAACCGCCGCGATCGCCGTCTAGTGTCAAACGTCAAAGTGTTAGAATTGACAGGTCGCCAGTGGTTGAGCCGGATGCGCAGAAGCAGGTTGAGGATCGTTTGGTGGATGTGCAGAAACGTTCGACTCAGGTAGGTACTTTTTAATACGCTAATGTTAGCTTAATGTCAATGGTTGATTTGTTGGTTTGTGTGTTTCCTTGTAACGTAACGGAATCTTCTGGGGAATCTTAGAACGTGATTTTGACCCACTTCAAAACGTTCGATTGATTTGAAATTCGGCTGGTAACAATGCATCATCAAATTTTTGTTACAAAAAGAAAATGGCGAACGAGTTTTGTAATTATGATCCGATTCTATTCAAAATTTGTATCTGTAGGTTTTTGAAGTCGGAGATTACGATTCTTCCGTCAAAATTGGGAAATTCGAGATGGCGGATCCAATATGGCGGATGCTAGCGGACGAGAGTTTTAATTATAATCCGATTCTATTCAAAATTGGTATCTGGCGGTTTTTGAGGTCAGAAATTAACCAAAACTGGTATCGGGGGGGTTTTGGGGCCGTAGATCATGATTCCCTCGTCAAACTTGGTAAAATCAAGATGGCGGATCTAATATGACGGACGAGTTTTGTAAATATGATCCGATTCTATTCAAAATTGTTATCTGAGAGATTATATGGTCGAAATTTATGATTCTTTCGTCGAATTGGTTTAATTTTAGATGTCAGAACCAATATGCATAATTGACCTTGACTTGTGTAAATACACCATGTATATCAACACCAATAAATCTATCTAGTTAAGATGGCGGATGTCGACGGGTCGTCTTCAAACGCTGAGCTTAAATTTGAATGCAAACATTGTAGAAAAACAGTAGTTCACGCGGTTAAGTGCAAAAAGTGCAATCATAACTTCCATCCTCGATGCATGGTCCAAGCTGCGCAGGCAAAAAGTGCATCCTGCCGACATGAAGAACAGCAAGACGTGAATGAAGCACCAGGAAGTGAACATGAAGCTGATGAAGAAAACAGGAAAAGTGAAAACAACGAACAAATGAAATGGTATGTGGCAGAAAACAAACTTCTTCGCCAATTAGTCAAAGAGCTTGAATCAAAGTGCGAAATTCTAAACGAAAACTGCAATCTGTTAAAGGAAAAGATATTATTCATCTCTGAAAAACAAAACAGTCTCACAAAAAACGTAGCAGACAACAAAAACCCAAATACTGATGAAGGTCGATCACCTTCAATAATATCCAAACAATTATCGCCAGTAATCAGCTGTGCACATCGCGCAAAGCCTACCTTCAGCGACGTTGCCAAATCCACGCACTTTGAACCAAAACTGCAACAAAATTCACAACAGTTTTCTAATGTCTTGGAAAGACAGAAGAACTTCACAACCAAAGAAGTCAGTGCCGCGATCTTAGATGCACAATCATCCAACAAACTGAAGGAGCTACAAGACTTAGGTAATGAGGATGAAGGCAACTGGGATACAGTAAAATCAAGAAAATTGGCGAAGAAAAACCGGCGATTTGTGATAGGTCGTAACGATAACGACACTGGCATCAGTACGATCGCCAAATACATATCCCTCCACGTCACGAGACTCCACCCCACAACAAAGCCTGATGATCTGAAGAAAACACTGATCAAAGATTTTCCTGAAGTCTCCTGTGAAAATCACACGTCCAAATTTCCCGATCTTTATGCATCGATGAAGGTGACAATTAAACAAGAAAACTTCAAAAATGCTTGGAAACGTGAAATATGGCCAAGCGGAGCCTTAGTATCCCGGTTTTTAACGAAAAAGAGGACGATGCCACGCACACAAGAAGAGGCAGGTCCACATTCTGTCCAAAATCAAAACAACAGCAAACAACTCTAGAAAACCTCAAGATATTTCATGTAAACATTCAGTGCCTTGCTAATAAGGTAAACGAATTATGTGCTTTTACTGATGATTCTGATTTTGATATTATTTGTCTGTCCGAGCACTGGCAAACATCAAATAACCTGTCCACCATTAACATAAGAAACTTCTATCTTGCCTCACAATTTTGTAGAAAACAACATCAACATGGTGGTGTTGCAATATACTGTAGAAACAACCTGAACACAAAAAATTTGAATTTAAGTAAATTCAGCGAAGAACTACAATCCGAGTTTTGCGGCATTCTCCTGCAATCTTCAGATATCCTGATAATAACAATCTACAGATCATGTACAGGAGATGTTAACGTATTCATTAAAAACCTTGAAAATCTAATATCCAACTATCTCAAACTGAATAAAAAAATTGTTCTGGTTGGGGACTTCAACATAAATTTCATTTCAAACTCATTACCCCTCTTCAATCTGAAGTGTATGCTACAATCTTTCGGATTGGAAATAATGATATCAGATTATACGAGAGTCTCTGCATCTTCCGCAACATGCATTGACAATATTATTTCAAACTTGAATCTACAAACTTCTGATGTTGGTATCCTAGATCCATGCTTATCCGACCATAAAGGCCAATTTCTATGCTTATCTACAAATAAACCCATAAATCAGGAAACTGATGACATATCTAGAATTTGCTATACAAAAAAAGGATTTGAGAAATTCAAAACATCACTCCTTCATGTCGATTGGGGCATCTTTGCTTCGCCTGATCAGAATATCAACAACTTATGCGATCATTTTATCAGTACTCTCCAACAAATACTAAGACATTCTTTCCCAGTGAAGAAAAGAATAAAAGGCGACCATAAAATCAAAATAACCTGGTACAATGATGAACTCAAAACAATGAGAAGTAACTTGGAAGCTGTCAAAGTTATATCAGAAGTGTCCAGATGTAAACAAGATACTGAAATCTATAAACAAATGAAAAAAACTTATCGTCATTCACTGTCGGAACATAAAAAACGATCCTATGATGAATATATAATGAACTCCGCAAATAAGTCGAAAGCTTGCTGGAATATAATCAACTCAGAAAGAAATTCAATGAATAAATATAAGAGCAAGATCTCAAATGAAATTTCGGAAAAGGAATTTAATGACTATTTTTGTACCATAGCTGAAGAAACCATAAAATCTCTTCCTCAATTAGATGCTGAAGGAGAAAGCAATTTCAAAAAATTCCCTTCCCCTGCCGAGACCTTCTTTCTTGAACCAGTTTGTCAATACGAAGTCCACAGTGCTATAAAAAAATTGAGACATTCTAGTTCTCGAGATATTCATGACATGAACAGCTACTTGATAAAAGAAATAGCAGAACAAATCGTCACACCACTGACTAATTTGATAAATGAGGTTTTCAGCAAAGGAATTTTCCCAAATACTCTTAAAATCTCCAGAGTTATACCCATCTTCAAAAAGGGCGACAAATCATCCCTAGACAACTACCGCCCCATCAGCATAATTTCTATCATAGGAAAAATTATTGAAATAATTCTGAAAGAACGTCTTCATTCTTACTTTGAAAATAGGTTTTTTTTCAGTAAATCACAATATGGTTTTCGTAAGAACAAATCCACCACTCAGGCAGTTTTCAACATAGTGACCGACATAGTTGAGGGCCTTGATCAGGGCAGACATACTTCCTTAACACTATGCGACCTGACCAAGGCTTTTGACTGTGTATCACACACTATACTCATTGACAAATTGGCTCATTACGGATTGAGAGGTACCATTTTAGAACTCATCAGTTCCTATCTGAACAATAGGTATCAGTATGTTGATTTAAACAACAAGAAATCAGATCTCAAACATATCGAACATGGCGTACCTCAAGGATCCGTCCTTGGGCCGTTTCTGTTCCTAGTATACATAAACGACTTATGTCAGTCTATCGAACCTATAAAATGCGTTTTATTTGCTGATGACACCACCCTCATAAGCTCGGGTAAGCTGCATGACGCACTACCAGTAGCTGCTGAACTCGAAAAGAACGTTGCAAAAAATTGGTTTACGCGAAATAAACTCAAACTAAACGAGAACAAAACTCAAAACTTGATCGTCTCCTCAAATCCTCTGTATCAAAAAGGGCATAATATTACACTACTGGGTTTAAAAATTGATGATAGATTAAATTGGTCCAGTCATGTAGATCAGGTGCTTAGTAAGTTATCTAGTGTTTTATTCATATTGAGGCAACTTAAACCTGTTACTAATATTGGTGTACTGAAAATAACGTACTTTTCTCTATTTCACTCTGTCTTATCCTATGGCATTCTTCTTTGGGGCAACTCTTGTAATGCGAATAGGGTATTCAGGTCACAGAAAAGGGCTATAAGAATTCTAGCAAATCTTGAGTATAGAGATCATTGTGAACAATCCTTCATCAAATTAGGTATTATGCCACTCCCTACCCTGTATATATTCACAGTTCTACTGGAAATACATAATAACAAGAACAAATTCATAAAGCACTCGGATATACATAATTACAACACCAGATCCGCAGACTTGTTGAATCCTCAAAGACATAGACTAGTTGTAAGCCAACAGAATTCTTTGAATTTCAATCTATACAATGTTCTTCATGAATCTGTTAAACTACTGGAACCAAAAAAATTCAAAACAACAATCAAAAGATTTCTTCTTGACAATTGTTTCTACAGTATATCCGAATACCTCCAAAAATCGAAATCTCTTAGAGCTTAGACTTACATAGGGCAACATAGCTTTTATGTTTGCCATTGTTTTTATAACTTTTTAATTGATCTTATTATTTATCTATTCATTTATGTGATTGTTTCAAATTATTTTATTGATACTTGTCATTTTTTATCATATCATATACGCTTGTCATGTAATTCTTTGATATATATTACAGATACTAATTATTTTTATCACATTTTCAAAATTACCACTATATTGTATTTTAATATGTTAGTATTGATACTTTACTGTGCTACTTTTCCCTTGCCCTGCTGACCTGCTATAAACATACTTGTATGTAACATAGTTAAATAAACTCTATCTATCTATCTATCTATCTATCTATCTATGTCGGACGAGTTTTGTAAATATGATCCGTTCCTATTCAAAACTGGTATCTGGGAGTTTTTGGGGCCGGAGATTATGATTCTTTCGTCAAACTTTTGAAAATCAAGATGGCGGAACAATATGGAGGACGAGTTTTGTGAATATAATCCGTTTCTATTCAAAACTGACGTCCCCCGAAGTATGATATTTCAAAGGAACAATTTCAAGATTTCAAGAACATCAGGTCTGAGTTGGACCAGAATATCAGGATTACTTGGTGTTTCTAAAGCTACATTATATAGACACAGAATAGCAATGAATTTATTAGAACCTCAGTGTTGCCAGATCCTCTAACCTCATTCTGTGCTAACGTCCAGCCGCGTTCAGCCACCTATCGGTGAACCCTGGAACCCGAAAGTCTATTTCTGCACACACTGGTACAACCAAATATAAACTTTCGCGACGCGCAAATATAGACTTTCCTGACACGCAAATATATAAAGATTTCGTCATATATAAAATTTCTGCATTTGATATAGACTTTTTTCTATATAAATTCAGTAAAAATTTTATATATTACAAATAATAATTATGAACCAAACGGCGCAAGGCATACTAATACTCGTACTAATATACAGTGTGTCCCACTTACCATGCTCACCATGGGTATCTTTTTAACGGTGAGAGATACGAAGTCGGTTAAATGATACCAAATGTAGAGTTTGTCAAGGCTAACTATAATGTGAAAAAATATTTTGATAAAATCTATTCTTTTTTGTTTTATACGCAAAAAACAGATTTTGATCATTTTCATGTCTCCTCCATAACTTCTTTATTTATAAAAATATTCAAATAGGAATTTCACATTCTCATAGCAGTTTTTCAAAGTGATTTCGAAAAAAATATGAAATTTATACCAACTCTTCTAGAATTTGAGATATCAGCACCAACTTTAGTTTTTCAAATGCAGGTCATAGCTCACTATGACTTAGTTAAAAATAACTTTTTTTTCTCTTATAGATGATATGTCGCAGTAATAGTTTTGTGTTGATAACAACGGAGTTATCGTCATTTATACAAAAACAAAAAATTATTTGGAAGCCGCCATCTTGAATTTATAAATTTTAACAAGAAAATCATGATCTCCGATCTCAAAAACCCCCACTCATCAATTTTGAATAGAATCGTACCAAATCTTGCCCGCCATCTTGAAACAGCCATTTTTTTAAATTTCAACAAAAATTCCATAATGTATTGTCACCGAAATTATGAACACCTGCCGAATTTCAAGTTGATCGGAGTTATGGATTTTTTTTTTTTATTAAAAAAATGGCTGCTCCAAGATGGCGGACCAGATTTGGTCCGATTCCATTCAAAATTGGTAAGTGGGAGTTTTTGAGGTCGGAGATCATGATTTTTTTGTTAAAATTCATAAATTCAAGATGGCGGCTTCCAAATAATTTTTTTGTTTTTGTATAAATGACGATGACTCCGTTGTTATCAACAGAAAACTATCACTGCGACATATCATCTGTGAGATAAAAAAAAGTTATTTGTAACTAGGTCATAGTGAGCTATGACCTTCATTTGAAAAACTAAAGTTGGTGCTGATATCTCAAATTCCAGAAGAGTTGGTATAAATTTCATATTTTTCTCGAAATCACTTTGGAAAACTGCCATGAGAATGTGAAATTCCTATTAGAATATTTTCATAAATAAAGAAGTTACGGAAGAGACATGAAAATGATCAAAATCTGTTTTTTGCGTATAAAACAAAAACGAATAAATTTTATCGAAATATTTTTTCACATTATAGCTGGCCGTGACAAACTCCACATTCGGTGTCATTTAACCGACCTCGTATCTCTCACCGTTAAAAAGATACCCATGGTGAGCATGGTAAGTGGGACACACTGTATATTGAAATTTCGTAGCACTTGAATATATAGAACATTTTTCACACGATATGAGAAATTTTGCACATAATATTGATAAGTTCGTATATTATATTGGATTTTTTCTATATTTTGAGTTATAATGTCTATATATCGAAAAAAATAATTATGAACCAAACGGCGCCTCATACGCGCCCGCCGAAAGTTTAAGACACTCTCATCTTGCCAGGTCGAGTCGGCCGAGGACCCTCTGCCGGCTAGAAAAGGAACCTCCTCCACCCAGACGACTGACACTCTGGTGGCCAGCCCAGGCAGCGTCAGCCTCTCGGTCGACGTCAACTGCTCCGTTGCCTTGTCGCCTCGGAGGCGGACCTCGTTGGTGCAGTTGGTGCCCGCCCAGCCGTGGCTGCCCAGCCCGTCTGCTTCGTCTCCCAGGTAGGTGGGGTAAACAGAAGGTTCATGGGACTACAGAAGGATATTTCATTCCTTTAAACAAACTTCACTGTATAGACCTCCAACATTCAATTGAAATTCATCCAATCTAATCTAATTGGTGAGATATTTTTTCAACCAGTGTTGAAACGGACTGAGCGTTGTTGAAGTTCAAGACGAAGCTCTCGAAGTAATTGATATTAGAGGACTCTGACGCACCGACACTCTGAAGAAAAGTTGAAAAATTGTTGTATAACGAATCGTTCAAACTCGGTGGAAATGTTGCGTTGAATAACGTTCATCCATTCTAAGAAGCTTCATTGGAATTGGACGTTTTTCATCAATATGAATATAATATCATTTCGTCAATAAACGAAATGTTAAATGGAAGCATAATTATTTGAAGGAATCTACAATATTGTATTCAAGATACATACTTTTCAACCGTGTGAATTCAACTTCCAAACCATTCAATTGCAAATGTTGAATTCAAATAAATTCGTAGCGTAGCACCTCTCGACTGTAATTTGTAACGTTATTTTCAGATCATTATTCTAGCTGCCTGTACTCTGTTTTGCCATTCCTGGCACCTCATCATCCGTTACTTTTTCGTCACTATTACACTATGCATCTCCACGTGCGGCTATACTCTTATCTGCCTGTGAACTCATGAAGTGAGCGTCGGCGAGATGTAGGAGGGAATAAACGTGATGAGATTTGTGAATATAACGACTTTGAAAACGTTTTTTTATATTGTTACGATTTTACTCTGGGTCCGTAATAACTTAACACTCGGTATAACACTTAAAACGATTTATTCTTAACACTCCTATACAATAATTACAATACTCGTACTAAACACTTCCGATTCACAACACTTCTTCGATCGTTATTATAACGCTTCCAAATAATGACTTCCCTTCCTGTCCCTAACAACAACTATTTATACTACCTAATAAAACGTCTAGATTCCACTCGAAATATCGTGAACAGGTCGATAATCTTCTCGAGTCATCTCAATAGCCGTCGATCCACTTCATTTCTATTCCAAGAAATACGGTTTATTTACTTCCGTAGCAGGTAGCTGGGATTGATCGCCAGGGTCGTAACAATGTCATTGTCAATTGAATACATATAAGTAAGATTTCCACAAAATTCTCACACACACGACATGTTTCGCTCACACAGTAGCTTTGTCATGTAATCATTGTATTTATTTGATAATTTAATGGTCTACATCAGCTGGTGTGATTTTTTACCTCACTAAAATATGAAAAAAATCCAAATAAACCAAACTTCTTGTTGATTTTAGCGAAGATTAACGAGGAAATGAAGTGTGTTTTCTGTTATTGAAGTACAACGTGAGTATTAAAATGTCAAATGATGGATATCCTAGATGGATGGCAAAACATGGGAAAATTTCGCATTTTTTCGTATAGTAACTCCATAGATACCGGTTCGTTCACTTTTTCATTGCGAAATTCGTTCCATTTCATTGTGATTATCATACAGGTGATTACAGTTTCTATGACCCAGTTAAAAAATGATGCATTTTAATCATCTGCTTGCATTTACTGACCATTTTCTTTCGTGTCTGTAAATAGTTGGAAGAGATGAAAGCATGTAATGCTCATGACATTTCACTATTTATTACCTACTGAAAATGATCAAGCACAAATCGAAATTATTCCATAAGTCGCCCATTTATAAAGGGTCGAAAGTTCTTCAATTGTCTGCCCATTGAGATCAAGTCGCTGCCAAATGCGAATGAAGTGAAACAGAAAACGAAAGAATTTCTCAGCAGTCAAGGTTTCTACTCGTGTGATGACCTCATCAACTTCAAACCATGTACACAGGCCTCAGATATATAATTTGATTCAATGTATGCCTAGTGTTATATATTTATATGTAGGTATATTTTTATTTCAGTTCAGTAATGTAAATGTCTGGAACACCCTGTATTTTATTGAATTCTCGGATTCTCCTTTGTGAGCTGATTTCATCAATGCATCACACTTGGGGTCTAGCGAGATTGATTACAGAGATATAGGGTGTTCAAAATCGAGATTTTTCAACTTTATGATTGTTTGGGGTGAAAACTATTCATTATTGGTCAAAACGGCTTACATGTCCCTATCTCAACTTTTGATTCACTGTCTACTGATATTTTATTTGAACGAACAGGGTGGTTCAAAGTTCTGAATTTTGGACTAAGTACCATGTATTCGTGTATTTACTCAGAAATGGAAATCTATGAATATTACTGTTATTTCTATGAAATAGGAAATTCGATTTGTCGACAGGAGCTTCACTAGCGCCAACCTTACCCTGAGGCAGCCCAGAGCCACGCATTGATGATTCTTGGAGACAATTCCACATAGAAATTGGAATCTATGAATATTACTAGTTTTTCTATGATTGAAAGTAGCAAATTTGATTTATCGACAGGAGCTTCACCAGCGTCAGTGAACCTTACTCTGAGGCAGTCCGGAGCCACGCATTGATTATTCTTAATTCCACTTAGAAATTGGAATCTATGAATATTACTACTTTTTTTTATGATTGAAAGTAGCAAATTTGATTTATCGGCAGGAACTTCACCAGCGTCAGTCAACCTCACTCTGAGGCAGCCCGGAGCTACGCATTGATGATTCTTAAAGACAATTCCACTTAGAAATTGGAATCTATGAATATCACTACTTTTTTTCATGATTGAAAGTAGCGAATTCGATTTGTCGACAGGAGCTTCACCAGCGTCAACCTCACCCTGAGGCAGCCCGGAGCCACGCCTCTCGACCCCATCGACATCACCTCCGAGAACTCCCGCCTCACTTATTCCACCAGCAGCTTCGACCCTTCCAAGGGCCTGCAGAGCCGGCTGCAGATCACGGTGGGGCCGGCAGGTGGCGCTGTTTCCTCGGCGAGGGCGCGGCCCAGGAGCTTGCATTGGGAGGAGCGAGGGGCGGGGCTTAGCGAGGCGGGACTGAGGGGGGCGGGACTTAGAGGGGCGGGGTCGCTGGACGATCTCGCCGGCAGTTTGGAACGTGAGTATTGCGCTTCTTCGTTTTTCACTAATAATAATTACGTAAGAGCTTTTCTTATCGAAGGAAAGTTTCATTGTCATGATAATAAAACTTGAATACAATTTGAAATGTCCATTATTCCAGATTTTTTGAGATTTTCTCTCCCCGTTTTCAGCTTTGGACGTTTCGGGAACGAACCTGCTCCAGTTTTCAACATAAAAAATTGTTATTTGAATAGCAAATTCGTATCTGTCTTGGAACTTTCAAGTTCTCAGTGATGAAAACATGACAACCAGAAAAGTGATTGAATCTCTGATGTTGAAAAGGAATATTCTCAGATAAATTATGAACATACAAAAATGGATATATATTTATATAAAGCAATACATTGAGAATTCGCATTCTTCATGTGACGAGAATATCAACTCTTTTTCAGTTTATTCAATAGAAAACAACTACTTTCCTGGCTATATGCCACGACGAACATTGAATTTTATCTATTGAACACACACGATAAGAGTTTGAAAATAAAATATTAAATCTTCTGAAATATTTGCATTCTCCTTCAGTCAAAAATATGTATATGCATACATCATTCTGAATATTCAACAGAAAACAACTACTTTCCTGGCTATTTGCCACGTCGAATGATGTATGCATATACATATTTTTGACTGAAGGAGAATGCAAATATTTCAGAAGATTTAATATTTTATTTTCAAACTCTTATCGTGTGTGTTCAATAGATATAATTCAATGTTCGTCGTGGCATATAGCCAGGAAAGTAGTTGTTTTCTATTGAATAAACTGAAAAAGAGTTGATATTCTCGTCACATAAAGAATGCGAATTCTCAATGTATTGCTTTATATAAATATATATCCATTTTTGTATGTTCATAATTTATCTGAGAATATTCCTTTTCAACACTTTCATACCCAATCAGGGGGTTCAAACTTGAACGATGGAAACTTGTGATTTTTATAGACCTCTAATCGCAGATTCGTGATAGAGTCTCAATTCAGAATTTTTTTCCACGCCCTGTATGATGAATGTCAATTTATCATACACCCAAAAGTGAATCTCTGATGTCGTTTGTGTAAACTTTTTTCGATATTGCGTTGTCAGAAAAGTATCAAATCTGTGGAAATGTCACGATTCGGAGAGTCTTCAATCTTCGAGTGGACAATTTGAAAAATCTTGCCTTGGCTGTATTCCTGATGATTTCAATTTTATTACGCTAGATTTTGTATGCTACTGACAAAGGAAGATCGACAGGTAGTCTACTAGAAATTACAGGAAAAACAGTGAAAATTTACTTCACTGCTTGATCACCTACTTTACCCACTGTTCTGCTTTATCGCCCTAGGACACTAAGTGCTACTTTACGACTGCGAATCGGGGCGATAAAGTACCACTTCACGCCCGGTCGTGCATACAAACATTTATATTGCCCTAACAACTCCAGTGGTATTCATACCAGCTAAAAAATACAACAAACATGTTCGCTCACAGATACTATCGGTATTTATATCACCAGTATATCTCGTATGTTCGTTGAGTAGTTTTCTAGTGAATGAAGGAAAATACATTTTTTTTATTCAAATTGATCGCCCTGTATCTCGAAAATGAAGCGTAGTACGACCAATGTTTACCTGTCATCTCATTTTGTTCAGATTATATCTGAACCAGAGAAATTTACACATTCTCCCGGACACCCTATATAAAAAACAAAGAATTCCTGGGAAAATATTTCTTTCTACATTATTGAAGATAGAGAAAAACTGGAAACACTTTTCCATAGCATTTTTTGATGATATGTAGCGTGGTTATATTGATTTCTCTATTAGATGTTTCTTATTCATTCCTAGGAACATCACCAACTATGTTTTCTTCAAATATGGTTCTGATTAGATGTTCCCATATTCATACAGGGTGAGTTATGAGGAACTGTAGATACTCCTCTTCCACGAATAGAGACCCTTGAGGGGAATACCGAAAGTCGATCAGAAAGTGTCTTCTACACTTCTTTTTCAATATAGCAAAACATCTTTTGATCTTAACTTTTCAACAGCTCCTTCGATTCGTCTGATTTTTTTTCATGGAATATTTTGCTACTACTTTGTAATCGACCTATTCAGAATCGGATGAATCCAGGACCGTTCTTGAAAAATGTTGATACTTTAGTTTATAGCAAAAAGTTCATCCTGTATATATCGTTTTTGTAAACTGTGACAGGGAATTTTCAAGGGTCACAAACAAACATCAAAAATAAAATATTCCAAATTTTCCTGGCACTTCCACTGCAGTTTGAAAAAAACTAAAAATTTTATGAAAAAACGAAAATTTGTCAAAACATTTATTCATTTGGAAATTACTACTTCGCAACCCATAAATTTCTCGATCAAAAGTGAGGCTTACGTTTTGAATGCTTCAGCTCAATGAAAATCAACATATCATTTCATTTTCAGGCCATTTTTTTTTGTGGAGGATAATAATCACCCCGTAAATCTTTTTCGAATCAGTGAATTATATGTGAAAATTTTGATGGCCATCGCTATAGATAATGGTATGATTTCAATTCACAGTTTTATCTATTCGATTTGTTTTATTCCGTTAATTTAGTCACTTATTTTCCGTACTAGAATTATTATCAGGATTTGTCAGTATAGCTTTAAAAAGTAATTGTGAGTAAACCTTTATTTTCTCTTCGACTTGATAGTCTTTGATTTGAATCGATGACCATTAACATCCAAACAGATACCCCATCCACTGATTTGCAAAAGATCTACAGGGTGATTATTACCCTCCACAAAAAATGAAATTACGAATTCCAGGCCTGAAAATGAGAGAACATGTTGATTTTGATTGGGCTAAAGCATTGAAAATTTGAGACTTACTTTTATTTTTGAAATTTATGCGTTGTGAAGTAATTATTTTCGAATGAATGAAATTTGTCAAACTTTCGTTTTTCATATAATTGATCGTTTATTGAAACACTGTGAAAGTAGGAGGAGAATTTTGAATATTTTATTCTTGATGCTTGTTTTTGTGCACTGAAAATGCCCTCTCACAGTTTACAGAAACCATATACAGGATGAACTTTTTGATAGCAACTAAACTATCAAAATTGTTCAAAAACGGTCCTGGATTTTGCCGATTCTGAATAGGTCAGTCAATTAGGATTTAGTAGAGGAATATTCCATGGAAAAATCAGACGAATCGAAGGAGCTGTTGAAAAGCTATGACCAAAAGATGTTTTTGCCAAATCTCATAATTCACCCTATACAGGGTAACTCACGGTCGATGGTACGTTAGACGTTTATGGAGAACGGGACATAGGATCATTCTCAAATTTTGGTTACTCACGTGGTTGCTGTTGGTCTATCGATCTAAAATATTTTCAGCTCTGCGGCGTTGCCGCTTCTATCGAAAAGTAGCAACAACTTTGTTATTTTAAATGGAACACCCTGTATTTTATTGCATTTTCAGATTCTCTCTGAAGAGCTGATTTCATCGATGTATCACACTTGGGGTCTAGCGGAAATGATTACAGAGATATAGGGTGTGAAAAATCAACATTTCTCAACTTTGGGAATTTTTTTTGTTGAAACTATTCATTATTGGTCAAAACGGCTTACATGTCCCTATCTCAACTTTTGATTAACTATCTATTGATATTTAATAGGGACATATACCGGGTGATCAAGATTCTGAATTCTGCAACACCCTGTATTTGTTTCAATTAAATGTCAGTAGATAGTTGATCAAAAGTTGAGATAGGGACATGTGAGCCGTTTTGACCAATAATGAATAGTTTCGACAAAAAAAATTCCCAAAGTTGAGAAATGTCGATTTTTCACACCCTATATCTCTGTAATCATTTCCGCTAGACCCCAGGTGTGATACATCGATGAAATCAGCTCTTCAGAGAGAATCTGAAAATGCAATAAAATACAGGGTGTTACATTTAAAATAACAAAGTTGTTGCTACTTTTCGATAGAAGCGGCAACGCCGCAGAGCTGAAAATATTTTAGATCGATAGACCAACAGCAACTACGTGATCGAGTAACCAAAATTTGAGAATGATCCTATGTCCCGTTCTCCATAAACGTCTAACGTACCATCGACCGTGAGTTACCCTGTATATTGGTAAAGAAGAGAAGAGGACACTTTCTGATGGTCATTAGGTATTCCCCTTAAGGGTGTCTCTATTCGTGGTAGGAGTATGTACAGTTCCTCATGACTCACACCCTGTATAAGAAAAGTACAAGATTTAATGCCGCGGCTGGTGTTTCATACCCAAGGCGTAGCCGAGGCAAGGAAACCAGCCAAGGCATTACATTTGATTTTCTGCCTTGTGAAACATATAATTTTTTTTCAAAATTTGTTTCAATTTCACGCAAAGTCCGAATAATCCATCAATTTGTGTTCATCCAAAGTCATTGTCAATTTGGATTACCATTTGATTCAAATTACTTGGAACGTTGCATAGCAACAAACTTTCTGCCTATGCAGTGAAAGTACAGCTTTTCTGCCTATGGAGTGTTCTTCTTCTTCGAAGCACTGGTGGGCGGGTGAACCCCCTGCACGTGGGCCTCCTTATTCGAGCCCATTGTGCGCCCACATGTTACGACATTCAGCTGGGTATGCCGACTGCCTTGGAGAAGTTCAGCAGCTTCCTCAGCTGAATCTCTTTTACGTCCTCTGGCCTCAAAATTATGTTGCCAAGGACAGCCCTCCTCTGATGCGTCAGTGCTGGACACTCAGTGAGGACATGTGATGACGTTTCGTCATCTTCCAGGCACCATCTGCAAAGGGGGTCATCCTTGATCCCAATAAGCTCTAGGTGCCTATTGAGGTGGCTGTGCCCCGTTAGGAGCCCCACTACCATTTTAAGGTTTCGCCTGTTTAGGAATTAAACCTCTTTTGCGAGCCTCTTCGAAGGTTTCTTTACGTGGAGCTTCGATTGTCTCATTCCTGGTGTGTCCTGCCATATTTTGAGGAATTGCTTTTGCAGCT